CCCCCGGTGCCCCCCGGTGCCTGAGCTGCCGCTGTTTTCCCTTCCAGCCCCCTGCCCCGCGCCGGGCCTGCTGCCGGCACCAGCAGCTCGCACCTCCTGTTCCTTGATCGGATTTGTTTGTTTGCACCCCAAACAAAACCCTGGGTGCAGAGGTGCCTGAGCTGCTGCTGTTTTCCCTTCCAGCCCCCTGCCCCGCGCCGGGCCTGCTGCCGGCACCAGCAGCTCGCACCTCCTGTTCCTTGATCGGATTTGTTTGTTTGCACCCCAAACAAAACCCTGGGTGCAGAGGTGGTTTCAGAGTACCAAAAAGTATGAAAATATGGTCAATGCACTTCGAACAAAGAGTCCAACTGAAACAGCGTTTGGATTTTGTGGTGTTAAGTATTTGGAAGCAAAGCCAGCAACAAATTTGCTGCTGTAGTAGCAAAGGAAGCTCAGGACTGTCCATACATAGATGGTACCGCTTTAACTGTTCCAGTACCATGACAGCTGCATACCCATGTCAATATGAGACAAGGAATACCTGTGCCAACTTAAGTCCCTTATGTAAATTAATTTTATCTATACTAGGGCATCTCTCAGTAAAACCACTGCAGTTAAAAAGATCATACGATCAAAATAATCGAACCTGATTTAGCTGAAGCACAGCCATGGATAAAGGTTTTTGCTTCTAACCAGAGTAAAGACCTGCATCGCCCAACAGCCATTCTTTCCTTCAAGGGTAATTTTGCTTCATCAAATTAACCCTAAGACACGGGACTCGCATACAATTGCACTGTACAGTGACATGGTCCAACACAGATACCCTTGGATCAACTCGCATCTTGGTTCGTGTGTTTAAGTCAGTCTATAATTAGAAAAACTAAGCTCAGTTATCTTGCACGCCCACACTACAGAGTTAAAAGCATCACGATATTAACATCTGTAATGGTCTGAGCTGTGTCAACACTAGCAAAAGAACAGAGAGCGTCCTCTTAATTAAAAAAGAGACCCTGCAGGGTTTGCTTTATAACTTGCAAATACTTGACAATGTACTAGTTTAACAGAATAATTGTTATTTCCATTATTAAAATAAGACGTAAGTATATCTTGCACTTCAGAGGTAATTTTGCAGGTGTAAGTTGTCTGTAAACAGCCATAACATTTTGCATAAAGACAGCTTTTTCTGGCCTCTTACTCACCATAGCGATAAGTTTCTGATAATGTGGCCTTCCGTATTCATCGTATTCATCGTACCACTTAAACTCTCCCCCAGACTCTTACAGCATATATATTGACCACCTCATTGTTCTCTCTCTGCAGTATTATCTTATTTTCCAGCTGCAATACTGTTTCAAAAGAAACCTCCTCTACTCAGTTGCTTTTCTTCCTTGCTTTGGCTATTTCTGCCTTACAAGCTTCACTTTTTAGGCTTTTCCTAGGCCATGTGTTCCCTTACGCGATAAGACGCCAGGCCACGACTCCAGTCTCCGCGGCTCATGTCCGTTCGGGTGAGCGTAGTCCCGTGCTCTCCTGTTTCCTCTCGGAGTTTACAGGGAGGCCGCGCTGCCCTCGCAGCCTCGTCTTTGGAATCTCTGTACTGTGACGCCAACAGAAACGCAGCACAATTCCAGGCAGCTGAACGCGGCTATAAAACGCAGTGCAGCGATGAGACCAGCAGCTGTCCACCTACCCTGCATCGTTTCTATGTCTTTCTGCTCCTAATCTGTCTATCTTTCTGGACCCATCCACTGTTTCCCTTTGTACCCAGGTACTGACTGACTTTGGGGCACAGACCAGCTTTTTTGCTCTTTTGCATACCACGCAATACAATGGGGTCTGGGCCCATGACCGAATTCTGCAGTAGTAGCAATCGGTAATAATAGCATTATAATAATGAATGAGATCTCCTCTCAGTGTCATTTGAGGATCCAACTTTTGTTGTCTTAGTAATGAGAAATAACTTAAATTTTTGCTGTATCTTGGTGGATGTAGAGATCATAAATACAGCTTCCTGGTTAGTTTACATTAGTTCATTACTAAAATTTGTAGATAGGTGTATTTCTGTTGAAAAAAACTAATCACACTATAGATGAACCTGAAAGTGCTTACATCAATCTACTGGAATAATGCAAATTTCATTTCGCATTTCTACAAAACTTTTGACCTTTCATTTCTTTTCTATTCAGTCTGTCACTGGTTTCCTGGAGTATCATTAAACTGATTTTGCCAGTGGTAACTGCAGAGTTTGAAATATGTCCGACTACCAGCCTGACATAATAATCTCCTGAGATCAAATCAGACTCCAGTCGCAATTACCAGCTGTGACAGGTAATGCTTATGACTTGTTATGATAGAGTGGAAGAATAACAATTTTTTAAAGAATATAACATTTCTAGGCTTTATTTGTATTCAAAGAACATTTAAAAATGAAGGCATTGTATCAGGCATCTGACTTTACTTCTGAGGTTACATTTGCCTTCCATCTCGCTATTCTAATGTTTTTCCTTCCCCTCTCCCTAATTACCAAATGCCAGAGCCTTAAGGGCGAATATGCTTTGTCAGAGCAAGAAGTACGACAGTCATATCTGCCTCTGTGAAACAAAATGGGACTGGCATGTGAACGTTAGGAACATTCTCCAGTGCTTCACCAGGCAGGACAGTGAGGCTGGGAGGCAGATGCTAAGTGATCTCAAAAAACTGACAGAGGAGGGAAATATTACACAATCTATCCATAAATGCCATCTTACTTGTTCATGGTCCTGTGTTAATCTTTATATTGAAAATATTCTCCTACTCTGATACTTAAACTAACCTGTGGGAGCACTATTTCAAATGACACCAATTCTGGCATGTTTGGTGATGTTTCAGGTGAAGTCAAATGTGTGTGTAGGGAGCCTTCAATGCAGTATATGCTATAAACTGTTTCCTAATCTGTCATTTCAAATATATTTTAAATCACTGTCTCAGAACAGGTCAATTTAAATGCAGCATAACTCAAATCTAGGCATATAAAGTAGATGGTGTGTGCGTGAGTGTGGGGATGAGCATATGCATTTTCCACTGTGGTATGGCAGACTGAGAAAACTGACAGTGATAAAATAATCTTATTCTATTTTATAAATGATACTGTGAATGCTCTGCCAGAGCCAGTACCAAAATACTTCAAACACCTCAGTAGGAAGTATGCTACCTGCAAGGCTCAGGAAACTCGAGCAACATAAACCGATTAAAAACAAAAAAACAAAAACAAAAAACCCTGCTGTGAGAGGTTGTGGCTAAAGCATGACCAGACTACTTTAATAACTACTTTAGAAGGTTTAGAAAGAAAAATTTAAGAGACATAGTTATAAACATGGCATTTACTATGAGTCAAACTAATCTTTGGTGAGTAATGTTAGGAAGAATCATCACTATCGTTATTACTTTTGCATTGGAAGAGAATGATTAGGGCTCTGATGGCACTAATAGGCCCTAATTGCCCTGATCAGCCTCACCTGGGGCTGTGACCCACACCCTCTGGCCCAGGGGGGGCCCATTTAAGCTCAGGCCTGGGCCTTTGCTTCCTGTCTGAGATAAGCTGTCAGAGTGTTAGGCTTTGGCTCAGTTATATTTTTGTCAGTACTTAGTTATAGGTCCTGCTGATGTGGCCTCTGTCTAGTGAACTGACTTCTTAGCTTGATCTCAGGCTTGTCTTGCCGCTAAGGTTCTTTCTGATGATCAGTGGGCTGTGTCTGATCTTAGCTACTCTCTCCAGATCTGCTTTTGATCTCTGGATTGACTTCCTGGCTTCACCTGGGATCTTTCTCATCAATATGACCTTAACTGGTGATCCGGACTCTTGGTTGCCACTGGCTGCCCTCTTTGGGCCTGCCTTGCTCAGGAGCTGTGGGATGGGGCCTTGACTGGGGAGGCCCCTGTTCTGTTGGCTGTGTACTTGTGCTTGGTTCCTGGTCCCTTGTCTCTGAGGGAGCAGCTGACCCTTGCTGTTCCCTAACTGATTTTAGGCAAGGAATAAACTGATCCTTCAAAGTGTTACAATGCTCATGTAATGCTTATTGTTTTAATATTCCTATTATTGTTGGTGTTATTATTCTGGAAAGCAATTCTGTTTGATTAGGTGCTGAGCAAATATAGGATTAAAAAAAAGCAGTCCTTGCCCTAAAGAGCTTACTATATAGCTATAAAATGAGAGGCAGCAGATGGATTCAGGCAGATGGGTAATGTAAGTAAGGCATTGGTAGTACCACATGCATTGGTTCCTGCACATCAGCAGCCTAGACCATTGGCAATTATTTTTAAGCACTGTGGCAAAGGAAAGTCTGAGAGGGATATGTGAAGAAGACCAAGGAGATGCCTTTGGGGATATATATCTGAGATGTTTATCCTAATATGCAAGCTAGCAATGAATCCTACAGTCATAAAAACGTAGGGCTGAGAGAAAGCACACGAAACAAACTCCTGTATAACGGTGAGATTAATAGGTCACCTAGGACTGGTGTTTATTTAACCTTTTTTTAAAATCATCAGGACAGAAGATACTGCAGTATCTCTGTGTAGCCATTTCCAGTAGAAAGTTTCTCTGAGGAGCCAGTCCAGCTCTGACTAATTCAGCTCATCTCCTGCTGTATTTCTCTCTTTAGGCATTGTAAACAAATGGATTTTTTAACTTTATAATTATTGATTATTTCAATAATTATAAATTCCACTTCTTTACTAGACTAAAAGTCTTTTTAGGTGTTTCTCACAGGGTTTCTAGTCTCCTTATCATTCTGATTACTCCCCTCTGGGTCACTGCCACTTTACTTGCATGTTTCTCAAAACTTTGATGGAGACCTCCATGTTGCTTCTAGCTTTGGTTCATGATCTAAATTAACCTGCTGGATGACTGCTACCTTTCTGGTACTAAGCTGCTTTTTTGTTTTGTATTTTTATATGTGGTTTTTCTTTCTGCTTTGAACATATCTCTAACTCAGTTTCCTGACAGTGGGCTGTTTCTCTAGTTTCTTCAGATCATTCTGAATTCTTAAGCTTGTCGTCCAGGAGTGCTCAAAGGTATCATTATTTCAGATGTTACCTCTACCAGCTGTTAGAATGCACAAATGCTGTTTTTTTGATACCAGAGTGCCTGAGTAATGAAAACTGATAATATGGGCAGGTCATAAGCTGATAAAGACTACTCAAATCTCTCTGCTACCTTGGGATGCATGCCCATTCATCTTCTACTTCAGTGTTCCTGCTGTACCTGTTGCTGCAGTGTCACAGCATTAAGTATGTGTTTACGAATAGATAAAGCAAAGTGCAGAGAGGTAACATGATTTCCACCATACGATGTAACAAATCAATGTAAGTCAGGATAGAACTGAATGCCATGGATCACACCTTTTCTGACATAAATAGCCAGTGTTTGGGGAAAAGCTAAGACAGTTTGCCAGATAGCTTAGAGTAAGCAGTTGCCTTTGAGATTTTAAATGAGTAAGTCTCAGAAAAAGAGCAAATAATGATGCAAATAAATACTTACCCTAGAGAACACTTACAAAAACTGTTTGATTTCTTAATTTCCTGTTTAATAGGAGGCTTTAAGTTATTCTGAACAATTAAAATAACTAGGGAAAGTCTATTGTCCAAATCTATCTGTTTGCTGAAGGTGGTTTACAGGTTATGCTGCTGTTTGACTTCAGCAGTCACCACCCTTTCCCTGCCGTGCTGAGCTGCGAGGCACTGGCAGAAATTGGCCCTTATGCTGCAGCTGCAAGAGGGACAGAGGAAAGCAGTTCTTTTGGTTTTCCTCCCCATTAGTCACTCCGATGTATGGATGTGAGATGTGCCATGGCTTATATTAGATGGATTCGGTGAAAATCTGAGGTGCGTGAGGGAAAGTGGAATTTTGGCTAGTAATTTTACTGTTGGTCTTGTGTAAATACTGCTGCAGTGTTTTTTGGCTACATCTGCTTTCCTTATTTATTCCTTACCACTGCATCGTACACAAAGCATAGCATTACTATGTTACAACAGTTTCTTATTCTGTGTCAACTTCTTCATTCTGGTAATAATAGAATCCTCCAGTCTACTAGTTTAGTAAACTCTCAGTCTCACTTAACTTAATGAGATTCAGCTTTGTAAGGTGATAAGAGTTATCCTAATGAGGCAATATAATGTTGCTGAATCTTACTCTTCAGATTTGCACAGACTTCCAGAAGTTCATTCATGGCGGGGGGGGGTGGGGGGGGAAATGTCTTTAAAGACTGTTATACTTAGCAATGAAGCTAAGTAACTGAAGGGATCGTCTCCCCCTGCCCCATCTTACACTAGCAGGTTTTCAGTATTCAAAGCGAAGCTCAGAGTTGCAGTGATCATGCCAGGGCCTTACCAATTCTTCCTAGCTCTGCTAATTGTAGTTATGATGAAAAAAAGTATTGAATCATGTCTGTCAAGACAAGATCAGCTCATCTTATCAGATATTTTTTAGCTCTGTACTTACATTAGTCTATATACAACCTCAAAAAGAAATTGTTTTCTCTTGTGTGATAGTTGCTGTATCTGCAGGAAGTCACTCAGCCGTTTCTAAGCTAGAGAATGACTTTACGGAGTTAACCTTTTGTGTAAGGAGTACTCAAGACCCGGGAATGCAGTGAATTGCATTTCCTTAACTAATCTTAAGGGGAACAACAGTTTCAAGGGCTCAAAAAGCATGAAGGATAGGATTGTAATTCAGATCTGGTTCCCTCATAAAATATCAGTCCCAACCAAGTTAATGGGACACAGATTTGGCAATGAGTGAGGCAGGAGATGAATAACAAAAATAGCATCCCTTTGAGTTGTATCCCTTCCACTCCAGAGTGGAAGAGCCATAAGCTGATCCTTCAGTCAATCAGTCTGGCTGCCCCATGCATAGTATTAGCATCATCAGAAAAATTCTAACACCTAAAAAGCAGTATTTCCTGTAATATTACTCTGTCTCTCAGAAGGCAACTCATGTTGCCTTTGGTTATAAGCCCCCTGTGGTTTCTAACAAACATCTTAATGTTACTGTTTGCAGCTGAACTACATTCTGATCTGATGAACACTTCCAGGTTTTCAAAACTGCTGTGGGTGGAATCAAAAAGTAAACATCAGGATTGCTGTCCGCAAACCCATATGTATTTAGCTAAGTGATAATTCTCAATGTGAACAATAAGTAATACAGAGTCTTTGCGTTCCATATGTTCTAGAGTATAGAGAGGCACACCTTCCTGGGTTGTTTTTAAAAGCAGCTACTAAATAAGCACTTTTAAAAGTCTGGCCCTTTATTTCTTCTTCATATCCAAAGACAGAACATACAAATCTGCTGCCTGAAATAGACAGGGAAATGAAGTATTACAGTTTTGAAAATAGGATTGAGTCTCCTAAAATGCTTAGGTGTTTTTTTAAATTACATGCAGAGATCCAAATCAAATGTGACTTGTATGGAGCCATGCTGGATGTTTGCTTTGTCCGAAATTCTTACCATGTGACAATAATGGTGTTTTTCAAGCGCCTATATTGTAAGGATGCTGATAAAGCACAGAAACAGCAATGTATTTCCTAAAATACATGACATTGCTCTCCTGGCTGCACAGATGCTACAACACACAAGTTTGTTGCTGTAATAAAGATTTTTTGCTAGGGCAATTTGGAGTTATGGAAAAATCTTCACCTTTAAAATGAGGTGTTGTTAGCACCCGTCTTCAAACAAATCATTCAGATAACAAGCACTATAATATACCTAACTGTTTCTTTTCTCTTTTACAATCTCCTCCAATGATTGGCAACATCTGCACCTCACTTTTCTTCTGTGGTTTTATTGTTCAGAATTGCTGATTATTTGTTATGATTTATAACAGCACAATTCTTTGATGCTTTAAAACAATGAAACACAGACTTGAACATATTTAAATGAATCCAGCAGATGCATTGTCTGAGTCTCTGCAATACCAAAGGAAAGAGCTACAGTTGACACAGGAATATTTCCTGCTGGAGGCTTGCCAAGGAAAAATTGGCCGCAGTCACAATATTCTTTATTGCAAGTCTCCTCTAATTTGTATGTTTAATAAAGCACTAACATCTGGGCCTATAGGGTAAACTTTGTGTACAAACAGTATAACTTTTTTCAAAAAATCAACATTTACTTGCAGACTTTTTAGTCGAGAAGAAAATAACGCAGGGTGTCAGCTTCAGGGCCACATGCTGCTTGAGCTCTATTTTGGGTTTATGTGGAGCTAAAGTGTTAGATAAGCTTTGTTCCTTCCTGCAACTCCCATTCAGTTGCTGTATTCTCTTTACAGTCACCCCGGGATTTCCACGGCCTAGTCCCAGGCTTCTGCAGGCAGCCAGCATTGCTGCAATGATTGACCCTCACCAGAGAGTCAAGGAATGAAACCACAGGAAAACAGAACTGTCTTGGGATGGTTACCTCTAAGGTAAGGCTCATGGTAGGGCAGAGCACAGGAAGATATCACTCATCTTGACTGTCCAGAAGCCACCTACATTCATTCCTCGCTTTATTTCTCCTTTTCCTGTTTCCGTTCCTTTCCCTCTTCCTCATCCCTTACTTGATATATAGTTGTTTGAGTGGGTGGCTGATGCATGGAGCTGGTGGACAGGTGGACTGGTATGTTCTGCAAAGGCTTCTGATTTCAGCTTCTTCTTAGCAAGAAGGAAGCCCTGCTGAGTGCTTATTTTTACTGGAATGGGCTGTAGGCCTTTCAAAGTAGTTCTTCCCAAACCGTATGAGAATCTGACTGGACTTCCCCCTAAATCTTTGTAGATTCCTGTTGTCTCATTTTTGTTTTTTGTATGTGAACCGAATCCTGAGGTTTTCCTACAGGATAGGAAAGTTTTTTGGGGCTCTCCTCATCCGGGGTTTCAAATAAAGTTATTGGGTGCTAGAAATAGTCAGTTACTCCTCATTGCTTGTGCTGATACTTTGCGTAAGCTGAGGAGAGCTGAAAAAGGTATCAAGATGTGTATGGAATTTCATTCCATAAACAAAGTGGTTGCATAGAAGTAGGCTTTCAGTAAGTTAAAGGGACAAAGGAGTTGCTATAAAGAGGTAGTAGTTTTTGTAATCTGTTTTCTACAGTGACATCTAAAGTCACTTTATTCAGCTCTACCCAAATGGGTGAAGAATGTAGTATTATAAAAACTGAAGTATATTAGCTTTCATAAGGATGATACAGGAAAGAAGAGAGCCACTCCTGACATCAAGTAGAAGAGTATAATTACAACTTTTGCAAAACATGTCTCTTAAGGTAAATGTGCAAGTAGAGTCCTTTTCTATCAGTGCTGAGCAAGCAACTTCTACATGTGTGTGTACTTTTTGTGCATATCAGGATAGCCAGAATTTAACTTTTTAAATGGTGTCCAGATCTTCTGATTTTCTTCTGCTTTTTTGCAGTTGCATTTTATAGATAACTGTGCTCGCGCAGTTCTTCCTGCTCGCTCCTTTAATCTGAGCACATCTTCTCTTGTTTGTGCATGCACAGCCAGGTTTATAAGACTAACGTTCTCAACCGAGTAATTATTTCTGAATATCAAATTCATACATAATCAGCTTTTCACCCATGGGAATAGCAAATTAGATCTTCCCTCAGCAAAATGAAAAATTCACACTCTTCACATGAAGTCACTGACAGCACATTGTTATAAAAGTATAAATTACATGAGGCTAATTTTAAGAAAAATAGTACTGGGCATCCTTTGTTTCCTCTCTCTATATACACTTCTCTTAGGTTTTTTCTTCAGAAGCTAGCTGCCTCTTCTGTTTTCATTGAAAAATCTCTTAACATATCAACGAGAGACTACAACAATTAAGTCAGTAATGATTTAACAGCCATTTTTTAATGATAACACTAGTTATTAATGAGAACTGTACTTCTCTTGGCATGGCTGAGGTCTGGAGGGAACATAAATGTAACAGGCCTGACTCTCTGTTAATTTTATGTTCAGCTGTAAGACGCTTTTGTGCTTTCTGTTTTCTCAGGACATTTTAGTGTTCAGGACTGGCCTCATTTATGCTCAGATTGTCCATAGCTCCTCCTATGTGATAGGAAACCAAGGATAGCTGATTATGCTGCCTCTCCCACCCTCCTTGTGTTCCCCTTGTGCATGCCCCTTGTGTTCCTACATGAAGGCACTCTGCCAGCCCTGTGGCAGTCATGGAATCTCTCCTCTGGGACCGTTGTCCCTGAAGGAGGGACCATTTCTACCTCTTCTGCTATCTATGTAATGCAAATGAAATGGGATGCCATGTAGCATTTAATGTATATGGACATAACCACATACGTTAGAACAGGGCTAGATTTTTTTTCCTCTAATCTTTTCTTCTCCATTTTAAACATCTCATAGCAAAAAAAGTCTATTAAATCTACTAATTGTAATCAGGACTCTGTGGATTTGGCAGTTTTCCCCAACTCCCTAATTAGCTTTACTATTTCTGCCAAGCCACCCCTTCCTTTCCAGAGCTGACCCAGCACTTTAAAGTTGGACCTGAGACAGCTTTTCCCAACTGTTGAAAATAGGCCCATGATTTCTTTCCATAGTTGTAATGAATTCTGCAATTCAGTTCTTTGATCTTATTCATCATCTCTAGGGCAAAACTCTGTTTCAGCACAGATTTAGTCTTTCCACAGTGGGTTAGTTTCTGTTGTATTATGCGCTCCCCTTCCTCATCTTGGAGGAAAGAGGAATGAGAGTAGAGCAAAAGCATCAACTCTATTACTTTTGTATGGAGAAATGACTGATGCTTTCCTTGATGGAATCTATTGCATATGAATGTGAACTTTCTCATTTGATGTTCAGTTGCTAAGGTGAGAGGTACTGCAGAGCAGAGGAGCAGTTCAGAGCATTTTATGTCGTTCCAGTTGCACGCCCAGGGTGTGTTGTGGGGTCTTAAATGACAGTAAACCTTTCTCGCTCATAAAGCGAGAAAACTAAACTTCACTGGAAAATGTACTCTAATGGGAGCTTGGTGCAAACTTAGGCCCTTACGTACCATTTTACACCCTTCATTGTGCATATCTGGCTTTATAGTTTGTATTTTTACAAGTACCTTTACAACAACTTGATCATTCAAATAAAGCACAGAACAAGCACGTTCCCTTTTGGATGAAATAAGTGTTTGTGCAAGCACATGTGTACATGTATGTGCCTGCTTACTTTGTTTTCTAGAGATAAGTAATTGGAAATGACCGTCGCAACCTGGGCAGAATCTGTCTTAGAAAACAACTCTACAGGTGTCACTAAGAGTTAAAATCCTGCCAAGGTGGAAGCTGGCACATTCCATGTATAAAGATGCATAAAATTCCTTATTTCAGACTTGCACACAAGGTCATTGATTTATAAAGCATTTCTAGTGAGATGAAGATATGTACACAAGAAGAAAGAATAGGCAAAGCTTAGGGTGTGGGTTTTTTTTTAAACATGGCTAATCTTTTGGTGCTTGGCAGGGCCAGCTCTAGGTGCAGGCAGAGGAGGCAGCTGCAGGGATGGTGGAATGGGCCATAGCAGAGCCCTAAAAGCCAGGCTGGCAGCTGCTTCTACTGCCAGGAGAGAGGATGAGAATGTGTGAAACAGCAACTTCTGGAAAAAGAGGCACATGAGCCTCTTCTGGATCCCATTTGCTTTTCTGTGGCAGAAGGAGCCAACTCTGGGTGTAACCCTCACTTTATCCTCAGGGCAGCAAAACTTAATCTGCTTACAGTGATGAGGATCCTTGAGCCAGCTCTGGTGATTGGCTTGCGTTCACTGTGTCTTCAAAATAAAGTGTGTACAATCATTTATTAGTAATCATCTTACACAAATCAAAAAGTATCTGTTAAAACTTCAAATAAAACCATTTTATGAGTGGTGGCAGATATATTTACAGATAAAACAGATATTTACAGTTGCATGGAATTAAATACAAAAGATTAGCAGAACAATTGAGGAAAAACTCAATTGTGCCAGCAGAGCAGCAAGCTGTGAACTCTTATGAGGTCTGAAGACAGATGGAGAAGTGATGAGATGCAGAAATACAGGAGGGTTGTTCCAGATGTCAGAGTTGCAGAGAGGGCTCTCTCTCACATCTGTTGTTATGAGGCTTTGTGAAGGGACCTGGAAGCAGCCAGTTCAGAGTGGGTGGAGGAAGTGAGGGATAAAGACAATCTATGAATAATCTCATTAATAGTGTTGCTTTTACTTTTCCACAATTCCATCCAGAAAGGACTGTAATAATGTCTCCAATTGTTGCTGAGTCCAGTGAATAGTTTTCTCCAATGGCATACGTCCAACTATTTCTGTCTTCCGGGCTTTATGTGATGGAATACTCTCCCCTTGCCCAGCGATACGTGATCTCTTTTGCGGCCACTACACTGGCTGTAGTTCTGAATTTCTGTGTCTAAATACAACAGAGGTTCACACATCAAATGTATTGGCACAATTGCAGATGCTGCCCCCTCTAGGTGAGACAAATATTGATGGATTTGGCTGGTATATTGCCATGCCATGGGAAAAAAATGAGTTCCTTGTTATTGCATTTTGAGGAATGACACTGAAATGCCACAACATGCAACACTCCCAGGGTCTGGGGATAGCTAATCCATGCAATTGAAATGAATTGAGTTACATGTTACACTGCTTTTTAAAAAAAAAAAAAAAGCCTCCCCCAACCCTTTGTTGTTAAATAGTTTATCCCAGAGTTTCATTAACTACTGGCACCTTTAGATCCCTTTCTTGTGTATTGCACCTTCTTTGTGTTGCCTCCTTCTGCCGCTCAGGCAAAGCACTGAATGTGTTGATTCTTTTTCTATGCCCAGATTGATCAATTAGCGTCACTTCCAAAGCTGGTTGTGTAAGTTCAGCATTGTCAGGATTGAATGGCATCATAGCTAAAAGTTCAGTGTGGCAATAATGAAAAAAAATTCAGGCAGGCCTATATTATATAATGACATCTTTTTCCTCGGAGAAAGCCCAGTTCAACATGCAAGGTTCAGCTTTCTAAAGGTACACCTAAAGACGCAGATCCTTGTTGCAATTTTGAAAATCACCTTAGCACAAGCCCTGCTAATTGCTGATCTGCATCCTTAGTGTCTGTGAAAAAATCTGTCCTTTCCAGCTTGATTGTGCGCCTAGTGAAGCTGATGGCACAAGTCCAGCTGAATTCCGTGAGACGTGGTTAGGCCATACCACAGCTTACCTATGGGCATTTGCATCATTGTTTCCCTAAAAAGGAGAAAGCACATGGTAAAGTGATGACTCAGAGCCCCGTCTTGCTGGCTAAGCAGGTATATAAAGGTGTTGCAAAGTTAAGGTCATAATATGATATTATCTGGCCTCTTTCCAGACAGACCTCAACTCCCATGCAAGTGTTTATGGAATCTTAAAAATGGATGGCATGGTGCTGAAGCAATAGCTACATCACGAGATTAATTGCTCTATCAGG